CCGCTATCCATCTTTGGATATAATGATATTCTTATAACTTGTGGCTTGTGTGCCCTGTTAATGTATAACACAATGATACATCCAATTAGAGAACAGTGAGTTATCGACCGGATCAATCACACATAAAACACATACGAGCAGTCTAGAGTACTTGTCGGTTTTGCTAACTGCTTAGCCCAGCCTGTTAAGTCCAAAACATCAATCTCAGCCTCTGAAATATGAATCATTTATTTCAAACATACTGGGTTTATATATCAACCAGACAGACCATATCATACCAATGAAATACGAAACAACATTTGTACAAGATTTAGCCAAATGGGGGCTGTGAATGTGAAAGATAGTAATTGATAGACTAGGTATAATTCAAGAATGGTAAATCGTATAATAATAGTTTATGGATCAAAATAAGGCTCATAATAAGAGGGACACGAATATGAATAGTTCAGTCATTTAACAATTATGCGATAAAAATATACGTATAGCATTGGTCCATAAATAGATCCCAAAAGTTACCACTCATTATACTTATCGGCATATAACAGATATAACTAATGATATCATGAAACTATTTTTCACTGACATATTCTTTTATTATTAACAAGTTCAAATGAATCCATGACACTATGCTTTACAATTTTTTGTGTGAATTGGTTTGAAAATTTGCGATAACCATTTTGCTATAATATGAGAGACCGAATTATTTCTATCTAAAACGGAACGAAGGAGTAAGCCGCTTCCATATGTTGTAGATTTTAGATGTTTGAAAAATATAAATCAAGTGGTTGTCTGTTTTAAGCAGTAGTTACAACTACCTTTCATTATTTAAGTGGCCTTTTGATAAATCCCTTATTACATACCCGAACTATTAAAACCGAGTTTGTTGAAATAATTAAAAGTCGAATATCAGATGGGTTCTGTGGATATTATATTAATTTTAATAATTGTGATCATAAGTCAGTTGAAGCTAGATCACCAGCAGTAAGCATACACGATCCCACCCTCCCCCGCGAGATTCCAACCCAGGTCCTACTGGTTTCGCGCGCGAGCACTTAACCACTAGACCACTGAGCCGGATGGCATCCAACGGTGTTAATATCTAACTTCAACTAATCCACAAAATTGAACCACAAATCCACCATTGTCATCAGTGAGTTATTATCTCACAACAGACCTGGTTGAACTCCGCTAGTCACTGCTTCTCACTAGGACTCAAGGACATACCTCTTGAATTCAGTCACTAGTGAGCATATTTTGATTAATACCAGATGGTTTTTGTGGATATTATAGTCCCACAATAGGACGAAACAGCCGTCCAGTGCTTCCACGTTTTCTATGGTGGTCTATCTTCAACTGACTCATGATCTTAACTATTGAAAAGTTGAATACCTTATTCTTACTTATAATATGCAGCAATCAGTTGATTTTATACTCGTATTTTTTCATATATGGAATGTGATATGTTATTACTTCTTCAGGATTAACGTATTGACAATATAAATAAATTATATCAATCAACAGAGAAAAATATTTCGGTTTGAAGACTGCTTGCTGGCTTAAAGTCGGTTAAACTTATAACATTAATTTTCCATAAGAGCACTATAATTACTGACAGTTATCGATTATAGTGAACATTCTCATTTTGACATTTGTTAAAAGAAGAACGAATCAAGAGGAGAAACTTCTCTTCGATTAGTTTTTCATCATGGATTTATATTAATATATGTATGTATGATTTACAGCAATGAAACAATACTCATCAAGTAGTTGCATTACGCAATAATCATACAATGACACATTGATTATAAAACTGTTTAAATAGTTTTGGATGAAAATAACAATCTTGTTAGAACTGTGGTGTGTGCACTACTTATATTGACATAAGTAGTATATGATGTTAGTCGTGAACAGAAGGTCTGGCAGCGGAGACACAAGAGGATCAAACAGTAAAGAATGGAAACAGGATGCAATTTGTATGAAAATGCAAGAACAATGAAGTCTGAGTCATTTTGAGACAATTGGTGGACATTTTGCAAATTACGTATTTACTTTATGATTGTTCGATTTTATTAACAAGTCCTGTAACTCTGTATTAAGTAATTTCGATTGTCCCCATTCGTGTCTTGTTCACTACAGAACAAACGAACAATACTTAATCATTAATGAGGAATAACCATACCAATTTGATCACTACTGAGTAAAAAATGACTTGGTTTTTGTAATCTGAACTAATCTGTTGCTGAGTATAGCTGGTTCTAATATTAAGTAAACTTCAAGTTGTAAACTGTACTTGATTAAGCTGAGAGACTTAAATGATAAACATCAACAACAAAAAAAGAAACCATTTTAAACGGATATGAATTGTTATTTGCCTGACACTATTTTGTCGGTGGTTGAAATTCGCAACCCATCTGTAAGGGATTTTAGAGTACGATGATAAATATTCAGGAATAAGTGATTATGGCTCATTCAGTGTTATTTCACATGAGACCTAATGAATGGAATACAAAATATTCTGCCAGTTCAATACACAATTTGCATAATGTAAGAATATGTTATCTAAAAGAGGAAAATCTTAATGTTTATTAGTTGTATGTCAACGATTTCGAAAATATTTAACCTGCATACTTACGTGAAAATACATATTGACTGGTCTAAACCTTAGTCCAATATTGGATTCTACTTCGATCGATATTTAGTGAGTTTCTCAATATGTATGTGTTGTTAAGTGTTATCACCATAAGTGTTCAGTAACCAAGTATTTAGGATGCATAATTTACTCATTAACCTTGACAACTATATAAATACAATGAATGTCAATGTAAGTCACCATATTTCGTTCTCAATCGATCATTCACTGAAAAATCTTTGATAGGATATACAATAATGTCAAAGTATTTCGATTTAAATTCTATAGTTGATTATATTTCCTTTATTCTATAATCTGCTACCACCAAACGATGTATGTATAGTATGATGCCGAAGAAATATTTAAAATAGAAAGTTTCTATATAAATATCACAGTCAAATCTACCGTGGAGTTGTAATAAACTGTGAGAGAATTCTGTGAATTAAAGTACCCTTTAAATTTACTACAACAGGTAAACATCTGAATCAGTTTGAATATGCTTAATCATAAACAAACGTTTGGAAAATATTAATATAATGGGTACTACAGAATAATAATGTTTTATAAAGAGGTCATTTGTCATCACAATTTTCTGATAGTTCAAATATATGAAATATTACTTCGCGACTACTGTTTGTCATAGCCTGCGCTGATTGGAGTAAGTTATGTAGTTAAGTGTGCTAACCACTTCACCCTACTTGTCAGTCCCATCAACCCTAATGAATAGGTGTCTGAGAAAATCTCTACACCAATTCAGAAAACCAAGTTAGTTTATACCGAATTGTTGTATTTCGATAGGAATAACGAATGGTAATTTTTGGGATCCATTTATGGACTAATAATATGTGTTTATTTTTATCGTATAATCGTTAAATAACTAAACTATTCATATTCATGTCCCTCTTATTATAAACTTTATTTTGGCCCATAAACTATTATTATACGTTTTACCATTCATGAGTTATACCCAGTATATTAATTACTATCTCCCTCATTCACAGCCACATCTGGCTAATTCTTGTAGAGATGTTGTTTCATATTTTATTGGTACGTTGTGGTCTGTTTGATTTGTATATAAACAGATTATGTTTGAAATATAATGATTCATATCACAGAGGCTGAGACTTGCGTTCTGGACTCAACTGGCTGGGCTAGACAGGGAACAAGAGCCAATCGGGACTCTATGTCGTTCTTACGTGTTTAGCGCGTCTTCGGTTCGATCGATAATACGCTTCGCTCTAATCTGCAGTCCACAGTTATAACACGAATCGTGTCAATTTTTTCATTTGAAAGGTGTCCGTTTACCAACAAAGGACTAGTATGATATTAAGTAATCCAATCTTTATTACTATAAGTGTGTAACATGCTGGTAATGATGGTGAAATATATGCGTAGACTGCAGTTTCGTGAGTATTTGTCATTTCAAAGCGTTTCTGACTCATCGTGGAACCACTGAATAAACAATATTCAGTTCATTTATTTGCTTTTTTGGAAATATAGTAATTTAGTATATGAGACTAGATCTTCCCGAATAAAATATTTCGCACTTGTGTCACTTTAGTGTAACCATCATCCAATCCGATGTGTGACATTGACTGATATAGAATTACGCTATAGTCAAACTGACAGTGACTAAACTTGAATATAGTGGTCACTTATGTAGACACTAAATAACATGGTTCAGAATCGGTCACAGTTAAACAGACACACTCAAATTTTATTGTTTACTAGATCTTGTGTTCCCAGAGACTAACTTATGCACCTTTCGACTCCACATTTCTCATTATCGTTCCTTATCGTCGTGCTTATATAGTATAGCTTAGCAACAACCTACTGTGGAAGAGAACAAACCAAATCCCAGTGGAGGAAGAAATCAGAAAGAAGCGATGGAAGTGGATAGGATACAAATTGAGGAAAGCACCCAACTGCGTCACAAGACAAGCCCTCATATGGAATCCTCAAGGTCAAAGGAAAAGTGCAAGAACAAAGAAAACATTACGCCGGGAAATGAAGATAGACATGCGAAAAAATGAACAAGAATTGGATGGAACTAGAAAAGAAGGCCCAGGAAAGAGTGAGATGAAGAATGCTGGTCGGTGGCCTATGCTCCATTGGGAGTAACAGGCATAAGTAAGTAAGTAATATGGTATAGCAGCTTGTTTTAATGTTGGTTTTATTCAAGACTCCAATATGAGTTTGTCCTATGAATCTTCGATGTTTATTTGAAAAATACTACTTTTTTGTCAGAACAGAACGAATTTTCCAAATAAAATTGATTTTTATTTAAACTTGATTAATAAAGTAAATTAATTAAATGTCAATACAGGATCTTCAACAAGATCTTTGAACAAATTCAACTGAACTCGTGTGATTAATAGTTGTGATGAACATTTTCAGACAGAATTACATCAAAGTGATCATATAACTGAAAGTGAAATAGAAATTTCTTATTATTTAATTGATTTTACTATTATTATTATTAATATTATTATTATTAGCTTTATTCAGTATTATAGTCTTGATATAATATAGGATTCTCAGCATAATGTATTTCAACAAGTTTCCTTTTCTTTATTTCTTGATCAATCCTGATGATCAATATTGAGTGATCGCCAGTTAGATGTTAGCAGTTCATTAATCGACATTTGAATAATGTACATTCTTTTCGATTCATATCGCCAGCAACTATGATGTCTCTGATTGGGATCTTGTACAGTGAAATGTCGTAAACATTTCACAAATACATCTGAATAGGTTATGTGATTAATAGGCATAATGATGTGTTAAAACAAACAACGAAAAACATGTGCTCACTAGTGACCAGGTTCGTGAGAGAATTTTCGGAGTTCTGGTGAGAAGCTGTGACCAGTGAAGCTAATCCATGTCGGGTAGAGACAGGTATCTACCTCAGTATAATGGAAGATGGTCGCGCAATTTCGTGGATTGGTTGGTGTTAGACACTAACACCATTGGATGTCGGCTCAGTGGTCCAGTAGGTCAAGCGTTCGCACGCGAGACTGAAGGCTCTGGGTGGATGCACACTGTTGAGGAGTCCCACAATATATTGAAACGCCCGTTCTGTGCTTCCAGGTTTCTCACGGTGGTTTAACATTAATCAGTTCATCATGTCAATCGGAAACAGATAGTTCGTTGAAATATCCAGATTGCATGGATAGGTAGCCCAGATATTCAAATAGGTCACCTTGATTGCAATACATACCTACTATTGTTGAATAGAATGTTATTCTATCCATTTCAAAAATTTATATCAACTGAAAGATTTCATGTCCTTTAACCTTATCCATCAACCGATTTGAAATATATTCATCGACAAAAGTTATTAATCTAATGGTGACTTTATTTAAGTCGAAATGATCAATTGTTTTAACAACCATTGTATATATTTCATATAATGTATTCACATAACAAGTCTTAATGGAACAAGTCAGTTAACAAGTTGTCTTGAATAACATCATATTACAATGACCAATATAAGATGAACACATAAATGGCCAAATTTCTGATAGTTTCTAAACAAAAAGAAAATAAATTTGAATTACCTTTCGTAAGAAAACCATTGTTTGCTTAATATTTCTCGAAGCGAAATCGTAGTTAACTGAAATAGCAAAGAAAGCACAAATCATTATTTTGTATAGTAAAATACATATTAATGGTTAGTCTATTGTTCTGTAAACAATGAGATTCACTATGTATTTACTTATTCCTAATAAGTCACAAAAATTGTTCATTGACTTTCTTCACAATTGTTGAGTACGTTAGATCCCTCGAACTCACTTGAAAAAAGGTCCTAATTTTGTCATTTTATTTTGAAAATTCGGATTTCATATTTTCACAACAGGAGACGCTTAGTTGGCATACAGCTTACATTTCCCACCCCGAAATCATTCACTGTCATTGATTGACGGTTTTCGTTTCTACGCTATTTTGTGGCTCTCCTAAGGTTGTTTCTATCATTCTATAAATAAGCTTGATTTGTGTACTTAGTGACCTCGTATTTTCTGAATGATTGTAGAATACATTCTCTACACCTGATCAAGACTTTTTGATCTAGTTAGGAAGGCTGGGAACAACGGATTAGAATAGCCTATTTTGTCACTGTATCTTTGACCTTCGTTCCATTTATCGAGTAAGCTGAACTCGTAATAACATTCAAGCATATTAACAATAGTATGAATATTTGACGAACTGTTTGTATGTGTGTGAATCTAATCATTCGGAACATTTCAATTAGTCTTTTCATTAGTTTCTTCATAGAAGATAAGCAATATTGCGTGACTTGTACTTACATAATATTTTGTTCCATCTCCACAAAATATCGTATTTATTAGAAATTAAACGATTGAGAACCTGAATATCTAGAAAGAGAAGGAGAAAGGTTTTTCATTAATTTTAAAAATATACTGACACATTCATTTTAACTTTTCATACCTTTTCAGTTATGGTATAAAATGAAGTAACCAAATGAATAATTGGCAAGACTCTAATTTATCGACGAGCCAATCAGAAGCGTTTGAGGTCACGGCGCCAAGTTCAATATCTGATGCTCAGGTATGATCGTTTACAGCGGATTTTAGAGAAGAGGTGATTATTGAGCGGTTACAAGAGATGGGACTACTAAAATGTTCCTTTACCTGTGACTGCATTACCGTGTGTAGACTATCGTGATGACATTGTGTTTCGATGTTCTTTATGTTGGAGAAAGAAGTTTGCTCGAACGGGGACTTTTTTGCTCTATCGCGACTGAGACTGAGGCAAATCATGATAATAGTTGCATATTGGATTATAAAAGCACCAGTAACACTGGCTGCAGCATTTGCAGATGTTAATAAAACGTTAGCCGTTCAATGTTATGATTCTTGTCGTGATATATGTGCAATTAAAATGACATGTCTACACGAATCATTCGGAAGAGTCGGGAGCCTTGTGAAAATAGATGGAACGGTAGTGTGAAAGCGAAAATACAACAGGGAACTTAGTATCAAGGAAGATTGGGCAAGTAGTATTTCCATAAATATACTTGACAGGTACTTGGAATTTATGATTTTTCAACACAAAAGGGGCATTTTCAGAGGGTCAGAAACTGGCAAGCAAGCACAATAATACCAATTATACAGGAATACGTGCAGCCTGGCACTACGATATATAAAGATGATTGGAGAGCGTATAGATGCCTTCATAGACTTGAGTCTGTCCATCATGTCGTAGTGCATAAACGCCATTTTCTCGACCCTACTACCGGGGTTCATACTAATAACATTGAAGACATGTAGTCAAGATTGAAGGAGCTTTTAAGACTGTATCGCGGCTCCAGAGGAAGACTATTATGGAGCCATATGGACGAGTTCCTATGTCGTATGCATTATGGTTTCAGAACATCTGAACCTTTATCACACCTCAATAAGTTTTAGATCACGTAAAAGAAGAAAATCGCGAACGACTAAAGTTAGACAATTATTGAAAACCTGAAAGCACTGGATGACCATTTCATCTAAACATCCAAGACTTCACTGGAGTGAATCAAACTCAGGACCCACGGTCTCTCATGAAAATGCTTAATCTGTAAACGATGGGTCTCCAATCCAACAGTGAATACGTCCAACTTTAATCAATCCACGAAGGTCTTGCATTCGATTCCTGCTCTTGTGGATATGAACTCGAATTGTTGAAGTCTTACACTAGGACGAAACAGCTGTTTGATGCTTCGAGTTTAAAATAATCATCTAACTTTGATTGTTTCTTCATTTTAATGAAGTTCAACAATTTCCAGAACCCTCTACTGATGGATAAACACTTAATGAATGCATGCTCTTTAAAACTCCGAGAAAGTAGCTGTAAATTTCTGATAACATAAGACACAAATAAGTAGTTTTAACTTATGTGAATATATCGTTGTTTAAATGCATCATAATGATGATCACTTAGTTCAATTTACCTTTTTCAGTGAATGTTTCAAGTATTTTGCAAACTTTATTTTTGTTATTAAACTTCTGTCCTGGAAATAAAAGTTAAACGAATAATTTCACATTGGTTTTGTTAGGACCCGAGAAACATAATGAATGGTAACTTTGGGATCTATTTATGGACCACTACTATGAGTATATTTTGACCGTATAATTGTTAAATAACTAAACTATTCATATTCCTATTCCTCTTATCATATGCTTCATTTTGACCTATAAACTATTATTATACGCTTTACCATTCTTGAGTTATACCCAGTATATTAATTACTGCCTCCCTCATTCACAGCCACATCTGGCTAATTCTTGTATAGATGTTGTTTCCTATTTTATTGGTACGTTGTGGTGTGCTTAATTGGTATATAAACAGAGTATGTTTGAAATATAATGATCCATATAGCAGAGGTTTGGGTTGGTGTTCTGGACTTAACTGGCTGGGCTAGGCAGTAAGCAGGACTAATCAGGACTCTAGACTGCTCATACGTGTTTAAGCGTCCTTGATCCTATCGATAAGTCACTGCTCTATAATCGGCGGTCACAAGTTATAACAGTTTTGTTACTGAAATTGATCAATATTTGAAGTAGATAGAAACTTTGAAAATTATTCAGAAAACTAGTAGTCTGATTAAATATACACATCTATTTCCCTAAATTCATAACCGATTGATAAACATCATTTTGACTGTAAATTACTTTATCAAATGAATTATGAATGTCATTTGTTTAGAAAATGATGAATCTTTCATAATTTGACAATCTACATGACAGCGAACAGAAGAATCTGGGACGGAGAAGAGTATATTTTCTAATCTTTTCATAAAAAGTCAATTACAATTGATTGATCACTGGGTGATGATCAATGTCATGTATGTCAGGTCCTTTTTAGTGCAGATCGAATGCTATCGACCAAGTTCCAATGTGGCCACTAGTCTAGATGACTCGACTTTGTGTGCACTATGTTGAGATTAAATGGTGGTTGGAGGTAGTCGACAGGAAACCCTGAACCTGGGTTTCCTAATAACAAATCAATATTCTCGATTAGTGTTACCAAGTTCAGGCTATATTGGTGATCAAAATAAAGCTGTGAATTTGTTATCATATATTGGTTTACTATAAGAACAGTTGAAGGTTTGGTTCGTACAGCTTTCCTCAAATCTATTTACTTCGCCCATCCTCTAAAATGAGTCTGACATGACAGGCATTCGAAAACTGATTATAATGCGAACTGTATAAATGCCGTGTTTTATCATATAAACTCAAAACATCTGTTAGTAGTGTAATGATGTAAAATGTTATCTGTATTCTTAGCTGTTGTCGTTGTATTGAGAAAACTTGCAACAATAATACAATTCAAAGTAAAATAATCACAGATTCTGCTGACATCTTTTTGATGAAGTTTTGTTTTCTGAGCTGAATGGTTTGGTGGTGGAGCTTTCGTTGTTTTTCTAAACCAAATCATTAGCACAAGCTTCAGATAGATATATATGAGCCGAGGAACTACTTAAGGACAAGCGCACATACAAACTGTTGGAGATAAATTCAGTCAAAAAGTTAGACAACCGAATCTCAAAGACCTTAAACAAACTCGTCAAAGAAGGAAAAATAACAACACAAGACCGACGGAGAATGAAATCCAGCGGACCAGTACTCCGTCGATTCTACAGCAGACGGAAAATATACAAACCAAACATCCCACCACGTCCAGTTTTAGCAATCCCCGGAACGCCAACATATAATTTGTCAAAAGAAATTTCACGAATATTGAACCATTTAGTGGATTCATCTAACGAATCCATCAAATCCCTCACACAATTCCTGGATCAAATTAGGAACATTCAAATGAACAACGACGAGCTGATGATATACTCCGATGAAACAGTGTTATTTATCTCATTTGAACCAAGGTTAGTGAAGGAAACTATATCCCTGCTTCTCACCAACGACACAAACCTCACAGAGTACACGAAGCTTCAAATTCAATGTCTACTAGAAAAGACTTCTATCTGAAGTTTGTGCTGATGATGTCGTTTAGAAGAACGATCAAAGCTCCACGATCAAACCATCCAGCTCAGAGAAAAAAACTCCATCAAAATTATCCACCTGAGCTACAAATCTTCTTCACCATCTCTGTTGATATCATATAATTAATCTGAATGATCAGGTTAGTGGTCTTTCAGACAAATGTATCGCTTATAAGTGGTTTATTTTGTTGTTGAAAATATTCAAAATCCGACACCATCTGAAATAAATCGACTGTACATTGATTGTTTTATGAATGTTTTTGTTTTCATCTCTTGAATAGTGCAAGTATTATTCACCATGAATTTTGTGTTGAAAAGAAGGATTTTAAACAAACAGTGAACACTAATTGGGTATAGATATGGGTATGTTTATCTACAATTCATTTATTACTAATATGTTTACAATGAAACCTCGTCATTTATATTGATTCAATTCACGAATGAATAATGAACAGTGGTAAGTCTTATAGACTATTCCAGTTTTAAATTAAGTGAAAAGTTGCCTATGTGTAATACAAGAGAACCAATTTCTTTGTAATGTAGTAATTGAATGACAATTGTATATATTATTTATATAACTAAACATTTAAGAATATTTTCACTGACTTTCTGAAATCTGTTTTTGTTTCATGAAACAATTCTTCAAGGTTGAATAGTGAGTAACTGTAGTATTGATGAAGCACAAGAAAAATAGACGAAATTCACTTCAAAATAGCATAGGAAATAGATGGTGATTATTATTATAACAACCAAATGCCAAATCTACTACTTCACTTCAATTAATTCACTTTATCGTAAACAATTGATGTTTTTTTGTTTTTAAAAGTTATATATATATATATGTCTTGCATTTATGAAAACATTCTCAGAGAACACTACACAAAAGCGAATGTTGTAAATCGAAAATTTCAAATTTTACAATTGATTGGCCACTGTGTTGTGATCATTGTCAAGTCCTTCTTAGCGAAGATCAAATCCTATCGACCAAGTTGCAATGTTTGGTCAGTAGTCTAGGTGACTTAACATTGCGTGCACTATGTTAAGATAAAATGATGGTTGGAGGTAGTCAGCAGGAAACCCTAAACCTAGGTTTCGTGCTACTTGGTACTCATTAACAAGATGTACCTGTAATCTTGAGGTAACTGATGCTCCCTGACGGATACGATCCCGTGTCACCCAGTGCTAGGTTTGAAACTATCACGAATTCACGTAATCTGCGAACGAGAACAAAGACCCAGTGACCGAAGACCAGTAAGTTAGATTTTTGATGCGTCCCAGCCCCGCTAACTAGAGGGAGAATTCCAAGATTGGAATGGGAAGTATATTCTGTAAAACAGCCAGGAACGAGCGATAACAACAAACACAATTCAAAACGTATATGTACAGTGCAAAACCATCCTTGGGGAGAGTTACCAACCAGCATACTAAAAGACGCAACGGATCAACAGAATTTAAGATATTTCCCAGTGGGAACTACGACGTGAAGGTGACAAGAGCGCCTTTGGCGCGAAAACAAAGAAATTCAAATTTTATAAATAAAATGACAAAATTAAGTCCTTTCCAAAGTGAGTTCTTGGGATCTAACGTCTCTAACACTCAGTTCCGCAATCAGAGATGTTACCACTGAGTTATCAAGGTAGCGACTAACCTCCTGTATGATTGAGATGTCTTTACAATTGATTGATCAGTGGGTAATGATTAATGTCATGTATCTCAAGTCCTTCTTAATGCAGATCGAATCCTATCAACCAAGTTGCAATGTGGCCACAAGTCTAGGTGACTCAATATTCATAAGCATCATTAAAGTCATTGATACTAAATCTAAATTCAATATTATAAGGACAACTCTATGAATAAGAAGAAGAAGAAGAAGAAGATAACGAAATATAGAAGAGATCGTACATGATATTAGATCTTTATTTTCAAACTGTTCACTCATTTCTAAAAGATTTCAAATGAAGATAAACAAAGTTAAATCACATCTATCAATAGGAAATTTATATAATAAAGTGTGTTTTTGTTTACAACAATCATGGAACTCTTATTATAGATAGTTTAATTTAACTATTGGTGAACTCTTCTCTTTTTTTTCAAATTAACTATATGCATAGATTGTTTATTCGTAATAAACTGATGAATGGAAAGATTAAATAGTTTGTAAATCTTAAGAAAAGTTTGATTCAACTATTCAATGAATCATTCGATTCCTTCAATTAGAATCAATCTTAAACAATCATGTGATTGAATTCATACAAATAATGATGAAAAGAAAACGATCTTGTTATTTAAGTCTATTATTTCATTCACTTCAAATGATGCGGTTACATCATGGTAGTGATAATATAAGAGAGAATATTTACTGAATTCGCTCGCGAGCCCGAAGCCCTGGGTTTGAATCGTGGATGCGCACTGTCAGAGAGGAGTCCCACAATAGGATGAAACGGCCGTCCAGTGTTTCCAGGTTTCCAAAGGTGGTTTAACATCAATCAGTTCGTGATCTCAATCAAGAATCTCCACAACCCCCTATACTAGTGAATTTGGATAGTTTTAAACATGGTTTGCATGTTTTATTAACTATTCTCATTCATTTGAACACGTTTTCTTTAAATTACCTGAAATGTTCGTGGGTTTTTGTTGTTTTTGATACAGATCAGGAGTGATATCACGTTCACTATCATTTCGTTATTTCGTGTAACGTTTAAAGTGTAAATGTAATAAAGAAGTAGAATGACTTATGATTCCATTTGATTTGCGAAAAAAAAAATCAAAATGATTGAAACAAACTTTTTTAAACAGTGATGAATAGTGGCTAGCAGTGAAATTCAGGACACACGTTTCGTCCCATTTGGGACTCGTCAGCTGAGTCTAACTGCGTCTCAGAGTTGATGTTCACTCTGGGACTCGAGCACAGTACCATTCGCTTTAAACGCCATCGCGTCATTCACTCAATTACTGAGTCCTGATAGCCACTTGCATGTGCAATGGGGTGAATTAAAATTCACTTGGTATTGTTTTGGCTTGTATCTTCCCATTGAGGTTTAAGACTGCAATTGATCATTCTGTTATTGGCATATGTGCATACTGAAACAAATCAGTGTAATAATGTATCAATGTGAATGATAAGTTGATAAGAAGTACATTTGTAATATTTGTTCAAACCTTTGATAAACGAATAATAAGATTCTGCTTGATGTTGTTCACTTATACACTTCACGTCTAAAAACAACCATTAGATTTGTGTAAACAATTAGATCTTTATTTTAAACATACATTCTTTGATCGCTTCACTTTTTGGAAACAGATTCTGAGCCATATTATCTGGAAGAAACAGATATACATATTTTTTGAAATTCTTCAAACAGCTAATTATTCAAGGATGAGAGATTAGTAAAGTTCGTTGTTTATATCATTGTAAGCTGAGAAACACTTAGTATGAGACTTCTGAGCAAAGCGTATTCAAACCGTTTTGATCCTTTGAATGGTGATGTTTACATATTAATGGGGAATTCCATGCTAGAAACGGAACGCTTATTTAGTACACGTAGTTTTTCACTGATTGTCTCACTACGATTAGTCCGTGATGTAAACTATGAAACGCGACATTTGCCTTACCAAATTATTATTTGTTATTTAGAAAAATATTAGTAGACATAAGGATTAAGTTTGTATGATGTATACCACTACATAACAGCACAAATAACAACGCAAATTCATGAATCACATGTACACAATTGATCGAATCACTTGATTGCACCAACTCTATTGTTATTCATGGTTTAAATCTTGATAAGGACATATTTCAAAAGATTCAACTCCTCAATTTAACATTGCAACTATTGTAAGGTAAATAGGGGTTTCTGTTAGAAGTTTCTTAGATTAATTGTTGGAAAGCGAATTTCAGTTGGACATCATTCAAAAATAACTAAGTAGATAAAATGTATTGAATAATTTATTACTATAAATAGTTGCTTTTTTAAAACAATTAGTCCCTTTATTATCAGAATGGGTTTTGTGGAGATTTTAGAAATTTCACAGATTGAAATCATGAGTCAGTTGAAGCTAGACCACCATTGAAAACCTGGAAGCACTGGACGGCCGTTTCGTCTTAGTATGGGACTCCTCAGCAGTGCGCGTCCTGCACCACCCGGGGCTCGAACCCAGGACCTACTGGCTTCGCGCGCGAGCACTTAACCATTAGACCACTGAGCCGGCATCCAACGGTGTTCAACCAGGTCTGTTGTGAGATAGGAACTCACTGAGGACCATGGTGTACGGTAGCGCAACTTCGTGGATTGGTTGAAGTTAGACATTAACAATTAGTCCCTTTGATAAATTTCGATAATGATATTAGAAGACGAAGATTATCAGAACTATGTGATATATTAGCGCAATACATTTCGAACAATCTGGTCACACATATACTTGTTAAGAGCATTTATATATAAAAATAAAAGGTCAACTAGACAGGAAATGGGGTAAGAGGAGATAAGGATAATGATAAGAGTAATAATAATAATAATGTGAACACAAAGCGAAACCTAATCACTCTGGATAATAAGTCAATATTACCAGGGTAGGTTTAAGGTAAGAACAAACTGTTTTTGAACACATAAAGGGGGTTTGAATTTTCGTATGGCTAAGGCTTCAATAAACCTTAGTATACGCCCTTTTACACTTTTATACAGCACTACAAAAGCTGAATTTAGATCAATCTTGTGACCTGTTTCAATTATATGTTTAGCAATAGAGGATGATGGATGTTTATCCTCTACTCTTATTGGGTCACTTGAATAAACATTTCTTAATATATATTTTTATATATAAATGCTCTTAACAAGTATATATGTGTGACCAGATTGTTCGAAATGTATTGTGCTAATATATCACATAGTTACTTATTTCTTTTAACTTCTTTTCTACATGTTACTATGTTGTGTTATACATGAAAGTGTAAATTTTCTAAATTATGTATTTATGTACATTGAAAATTGAAAATCAGTTCTTATTTCACTTACTCATTTGAGTTATTATTAACTTTTCATTTTCTCTGAACATAACTATTCCTCTCTCTGCATCATCTATAAATTGGACAAAGAATATTCTATTGAAAATGTTAATTTCTTTTATTTAAAATTAAAATTTAACAATTTCAATAACTTCAATAGTTGAAATCATGAGCGAATTGAAGCTACATCACCATGGAAAACTTGGAAGCAATGGAAGACCGTTTCGTCCTAGTATGGGACTCCTCCTTGGCAGTGCATATCCACGATCCCCCCTCTCGACATTCAAAACTAGAACATATCAGTCTCGCGTGGAAGCGCTTAACCTATAGACCACTAAGCCGGCTGGCATCTAACGTCGTTAATGTCTAACTTCAACTAATCCATGAAGTTGCGCCACCGTCCACCATTGTCACCAGTGAGTTACTATCTCACATCAAACCCGGTTGAATTCTATTGGTCTCGACTTCTCACTAAAGGTTCAGGAAATACCTCTTGTGAACCGTCACTACTGAGGGTATGACGATTATAATCAGAGAAGAGATTTTGTGGATATTATAGTAACATGATAGTTGAACTGATGAGGAGTCTCATACTAGGACGAAACGGTCGTCCAGTACTTCCAGGTATTCCATGGTGTCCTAGCTTCAATTTACTCGTGAATTCAACTATTAAATTATTATAATATCCACAAAAACCATTCTTTGATTATAATTTTAAGCATAACTATTGATATCATCTTGCTGAACATCATAATTGTTTGTTGAATACAATGATACTACTATTCATTATTTATATGTTAAATATACACACTCATAGACTTATATCATAAATCATAGAAATGAGTAGAATAATCACAGTCTGTAAAATATTATTGTTTAGTAACTAATATATCAATATTTTTTGTAAGCAATGATGGATAGTGGCTAGCAGTGCAATCCAGGACGCGCGTTTCGTCAGCTGGATGTACTTGCATCTCAGAATTGATGTTCACTCTGGGATTCCACTGCTAGCCACTCTCCATCATTGCTTACAAAAAGCTTGTAAATTAAGGCAATATTGAGGAATACGCACAGTATGCACATATTGTCAATAAGAAACTGATCAATTGCAGTCTTGAAACTCAATGGCAAGATGCAAACCAAACAATACCAAGTGAATTAATATATCAATAGCTGTCGATGTCTCACTCTTATATCCAGTGGTAAATCAACTAGGATGGTTTTGAGGTAAACACTATTGGATGAATTTTAAACGATGTGTACAGAGTTATAAATGAACTTTATTCATATAGGCACGTATTTCACAAGACAATCTATGTAAACTTTACATTCTCAAGTGTTTAAAAAATTAAAACATACTTAGTTCTTCCACATCACTCCTCGTAACTAAGTTTAATGGAAAGAAATAGAATTATACATACTCTTGATGAAGTATTAGGGCATCAATGTCTTATTCATTATTTACTTTTAAAATAGTTATCATAGAAAAGTTATAAATTGTAATTCGAATTGTTTAATTGGACCTTTGTAACAATTGATCCGCTTTAATATTGTTGATCATTCACTTAGAATTGGTCAATGGTTAGTCACTTCAATTCAGTGGATTGTTTTGATGCTAACATGAGAACTGCTAACTAATCAATTAAATATCGGTAACCAACTACCTAAAATGGTTGAAATTTTGAAATATCAATCTAGAGAAATTGATTTTGACATAAGTGATGCATCGTTCCCATAGATGAACTTGAAGCTTTATTAATAAATAGAATAGTATTTTGTAAAAGAACAATCTTTCCGCAAACATAATGGCATATTTAATAAAATACATTAACTAGCAATATTTGATATAACTCCACCTAGAACCCCGATGGGGCTACCGCCGGTCCTAAGCGCGGATAAAAGGAGAGGATTGGACATGGAGTTAGCTACCCTATCCCGTAGAAAGCTAACTCGCTAAAAGAATTCTAACCATCAATGTTTGATATGGCTGTTCAAACTATACATAAATCACGAGTTAAAGTGGTATATATAATCGAGATATGATTGGATGACTTACAAGATTGAGGTATGGCTTGAAAAAATATTTCAAAATATCAATCAGTACAAAACTAATTGAAGTGAAGTAACAATTTAACTAGGTAACATTATCTTAAATCATCTTCTAATAATGTCTATTCTGGTGTTAACTGTGATTCCCGTTGGGTAAACAAACGGTAGAATATATCAGAAGGGGGTTTTGTAGATATTATAGTCATTTAATTGTTGAGATCATGATTCAATAGAAGCTAGACCACCATGGAAAACTTGAAAGCACTGGAAGGCCGTTTCATCCTTCTCCTCAATAATGCGCATACACTATCCCGCCTTGTGAGATTTAAACCCAAGACCTATCAATCTTGAGCGCAAGCGCTTAACCATTAGATCACTGAGCCAACCGGCATCCAACGGTGTTAATGTTTAACTTGAACTAATCCATGAAATCGAGTGACACATCCATAATGAAGCTGTTGGCTAAATAATGATAGGTGACAGGTTTGGTTTAAAAAAGTATTTTTATATATTGAAATATTATATTTATTCTTCATTTGAACATGTGTCACTATATAAATTGTTTCCATGACTGAATATTAAGTTTATCATTTAAGGAGTCAATGGGGATGTATTATATACAATACAAGATAGTTCCATGAAAAGATTTGTAATGTATTCTATTGATTTCTTTTGAGAAATAAAAATCGATTTTACCTAATTTATTATAACATTGTTGTGTGGTTCCGTTTTTCTCACGAATGATTAGATTATCATTTTCCTTTAGAAGGCAGAATTCGCTAGTACTTTTAATGCAATGAATTGCTGTCACTGATGTCAAATGTTATAACTAATTAACTAACAACTAGTGATAAATATTCTCAAATAATTTTAATTGTAAATCAGTTATGCAGATGTGAAGGCGCGGATCGTCAAAGCATGAGCAGAATATTTACAATTGAAGAACATCTGGAAATCGAAACAACTGTCTGTTAACCAACAGCAAATTTAGAATTCTCAATACAAATGTCAACACAGTTCTACTGTATGAGACAGAAACTAGGAGAACTACGAAAGCCATCATCAAGAACATACAAGTGTTTATTAACAGCTGTCTATGCAAAATACTTCGGATCTGTTGACCAGACACTATCAGCAATAGTGTAGGAAAGAACAAACCTGATCCCAGTGGAGGAAGAAATCAAGAAGAAGCGATCGCAGTGGATAGGATACACATTGAAGAAAGCACCCAACTGCATCACAAAGCAAGCCCTCATATGGAACCTGAAGGCCAAAGGAAAGGTGGAAGACCGAAGAAAACATTACGCCGGAAAATGGAGACAGGCATGAAAAGAATGAACAAGATTTGGATGGAACTAGAAAAAAAGGCCCAGGACAGAGTGGGTTGGAGAATGCTGGTCGGTGGCCTATGTTCCATTGGGAGTAACGGGCGTAAGTAAGTAAGTCATTTGAGTCGAATGATGTATGATTTTGTCTAAGTTAATTTTTTTTATTACAGAAACGAGATGTGTACAAAAGCCGAAACGCCTCTTTGTTAATAAAAATTGAATTATCACGAATTTAACTTCGGTTATTTATTTGCTCTGAAGGAGTGGCTTAAACTGAGTCACGAAACGTTAGAAAATCTAATTTCTCGATTCATTGGGATATCTACAAATACGTTATTTATTCTTAACTTTCTACCCAATGTTCAATGTATAAGCAAAGATGGTTAGTGGCTAGCGATGAAATCCAGAAAGCGCGTTTTTTTTTTATTTGGGACTTGTCAGCTGGTTGTACCTGCATCTCAGAATTGATGTTCACTCCGGGATTAGAAACCAGTACCGTTCGTTTCAAACGCCATCGCGTTATTCACTTAGCTACTGAGTCCTGATAGCCACTTGCTTGAGCAATGGGGTGAACTTGAAATTTAATTGGTATTGTTTACTTGAATCTTCCCATTGATATTTATGTCTGCAATTGATTAGTCCAACTGATGAGTTCCACTACTAGCCACAATCCATCTTTGCTTATACATTGAGACAATACGCACAGTATGCACATATTGTCAATAAGAAACTGATCAATTACAGTCTTAAACATCAATGAGAAGATTTTAGTAAACAATACCAATATTCAATTTATTTGAAACTATCAAGTTCAACCTTAGTACTGATACCTCTAAACTGTTCACTATAGAAATTCATACATTTCATGTAACTAAATGTTCGCATCAATTATTCATTTCTTGAAATTTTACATTCGTATTTGAAATAATTCAAGTAAATATACCACCTTATTTGGTTGAACACATAACTTTCATAAGAATATATGAAATACAGTGATAATTCTAACAGTTCAAGTACGATTATGAATATGAACTAATCCATAAACATTGTTTGATAACTTACGATCATTTCCCAATGCTATGAAAAAAATATAAGATATAAGTATAGTTATAATCGACAGTATAAAACAGTGTATTTAGGAACATGTTTCACATTGAAATTAGTTTAAACAATCATAGTTGATTGTTATTGGAGACCATAAGTTATATTTTTTTAGTATAAATCTTTCTAATTGATACTTTCATCGATTATTCAATTTGTACCCTTAATAGGTAAAGGTTAGTTACTAACTTTTATAACTATACTGTTGCCTATAATCATTAATTTATTGTAAAAGATCATTTACATCATAACTTTCAATGTTATCATCAGTGATAAGTAACAATTGTGCTTAATCGATATTTATTTTACCAGACATTTGAAAGTTCTGAGATGGTGGAGAAGATTTGTAGCTCAGGTGGATGATTTTGGTGGAGTTTTGTTCTCTGAGCTGGATGGTTTGGTGGTGGAGCTTTCATCGTTCTTCTGAACGACATCATCAGCACAAACTTCAGATAGAAGTCAAGTGTTTGAATTTCTCCATATGTGTCTCAAAGCTTGTTCTGTGCACCTCGACGTTGATTGGTTCTTATTGACCTTAAATTTGTCGTTGTTTATTTCTTTGGGAGACACAACCAAAACAAAGAAATAAACAACGACAAATTTAAGGTCAATAAGAACCAATCAACGTCGAGGTTCACAGAACAAGCTTTGAGACACATATGGAGAAATTCAAACACTTGACTTCTATCTGAAGTTTGTGCTGATGATGTCGTTCAGAAGAACGATGAAAGCTCCACCACCAAACCATCCAGCTCAGAGAACAAAACTCCACCCAAATTTGAAAGTTCTTCAATTCTCATTATATTCGTAATAATAATAGTTATTAGTAATCTTAGCGGATAACCACAAAGTAATTGAAAGACAGTTGAATATCTTTATTATTTTCTGATAATAATCATAACAGGTTTGAAACGATTGTACGAGTTGATGTTGATTGAATACATTATCATTTTGATACTACTCATAAGGCGTTGATCATGTTTGTTCACTTATTCTGTCTATCTTCCATCTTTAAGCGTCCATTCTTTCGATATCAATCATTAAAGAATGGTTTTTATCTTATAGTCATGATATGCTTGACGCTATTACGAGTTCAGCTTACTCGATAAATGGAACGAAGGTCAAAGATACAGTGACAAAATAGGCTATTCTAATCCGTTGTTCCCAGCCTTCCTAACTAGATCAAGAAGTCTTGATCAGGTGTAGAGAATGTATTATACAATCATTCAGAAAATACGAGGTCACTAAGCACACAAATCAAGCTTATTTATAGAATGATAGAAACAACCTTAGGAGAGCCACAAAATAGCGTAGAAACGAAAACCGTCAATCAATGACAGTGAATGATTTCGGGGTGGGAAATGCACGCTGTATGCCAACTAAGCGTCTCCTGGCGTGAAAATATGAAATCCGAATTTTCAGAATAAAATGACAAAATTATGGCCTTTTTTCAAGTGAGTTCGAGGGAACTAACGTCCTCAACAAGTCAGAAATATGCTACTTGAAAATAATAATGACAGAGTGACTACATCGAAATATGTCTACAATATAATACTAATTTATATCAATATGTTGTCTTTATTCTGAAGTACATCTTGATAATCATCATTGAAGCATAGGGTCATTTATGGATCGTTTTCTGCTGCCTACTGACACACAATTTTGTCGCAATATTGATTTATGTCAATCTTTTGAATCGAGATAAAAGTGTCAACTTGTTTAGTGGCTTTTGTATTCACTAGTTTGTATTATTGTTTTGATGTTAACACTATGAATGAAATCTAATTCGTATGGATTTCTTGTCAGCATTTCATCCAACAATCTAATGAAACTAAATAATATTCAACTGGTTCATTAATCGGAAAGATATTCGTTAATTAATAAATTGTTACACAGTTGATATTCCACTATTGACTGCAATCCAGAATTATATCAAAAAAACTTTTTCAACAATTATTAACTGTTGATTTTACTGGCTAGTAGTGAAAACCAAGATTCTCTTAGTCTGATTAGCTGACTGTACTTGTAGCCATGTTTATATTTACATCTAAACTTCAACCTGTTAACGTTCTCTTGAAACAGTGAACGTTATATCTATTCAGCTTCCTATTACAAATAGCCATTGACTTGTGTAACGAAGATGAAATCTTATCAGTTTGTATCAGTCAGTCAGTCAGCTACAACGTAGGACCAGGCACATATATGCATCGGTCTAAGTTGACATACCGCATTAACACAACAAGATGAACATCGGATTGATAGAAGTAGTTAAATCAAAGGTGGTAATATATAAAAGAAAGATTGCATATAGAGATATAGTACAAGAAGAAAGAATTGGTTCGTAGAAAGAAAGATATGAAGCGAATTTAATCTCATAGTTTGAGAGAAGACAGAGAGTGTATACACCGACGCCATTGTGATCGATTCTGAGCCATGTCACCAAGAGTCTCCAACCATTGGTTACGATAGTCACGCGGACCCCAACCAAGTAGTCTGCATCTACCAACATGGCTCAGACTAGAAGTTAGTGACTTCAAGGACTGATGCCACGTTTTGGTTTGGCTGCCCTTAACTTTCTTCCAATCATCTCCTACACTAGTCAGTATTGCGCGTCGTGGCATTCAGTGTTTAGCCATACGCAACACGTGGCCCAACTATCTCAGTCGATGAAGATTCACAACCTCATCAACTGATTTACCATCCTTTCCTAATACCCTGCGTCTAACCTCACTATTACTTACCCGGTTATCCCAGCAGACGCCAGCAATATTTCTTAGGCATCTGTGGTCAAATACTAATAGCTTACGAGTGTCTTCTACTCTTAATGGCCATGTTTCGTTGCTATAAAGTAAAACAGAACGAACTGCCACGCAGTATACTCGTCCTTTTATTGATAGACGGATATCTCGCCTTTGCCATAGGTGACGTAAGTTGGCGAAAGCCAAACGAGGTTTTCGCATCCGTGCTGAGCTTTCATCAGACACCAACCCATTAGGGCTGATCAGACTTCCAAGATAAGTGAAGTTGTCAACGCGTTCGACTACTTCACTCCCTATCCTTAGTTCAGGTGTTGACGCAGACCAGTCCTGAAGCAACAACTTTCAGTTAGAGGAGAGAAGCGCAGTCCAAACATTCTGGCGTTGCTGCTCAGTGCTACCAAAATACTCTGCATTTTGTCAGCGTCTTCATCAAACAGGACTATGTCATCTGCGTATTCTAAGTCGAAAAGTGGACCTCCTGGATAGAGATCAATACCCGAGAATTCAGTCGACGAGAATGTTATTTCCATCAATAGGTCTATGATGAAGTTAAACAAAAATGGAGAAAGTGGACAGCCTTGACGGACACCACATGAGTTTGCAAAAGCAGATAAAATTTACAAGACTGTTTGACAAGATGAAACAGAAAAAAAATCATTAGTTTGAGAATGACTTTCACTTCCATATGAGTGTTGAATGTAAATTTTCTATTTAAAAATGTGAACCAGTTTATTATTTTGATGTAAAATGTACCAGTTAAATAAGTGACAATCAGTATAATTAATCTCCAATGATTTAACTTCTAAGTCACTGGTTAGATTTTTTAATGTATTTCTTCATCCAAACACAAGTAAGCTGTATACAAACACATAACCCTTTCAACAACACCAATCATCATAGAATTCATGTAAAAAAAACGATACCCTCATCGACTATTCAATTTCAGAGCTGTACTCCTGGATTAATAATTCATCTGTTTATTTCATCGTGTTTTTTTTGTTGAAAAATCTTGGTCAAAACTTTTCTTAAAAAACGAATCAAATAGAAATTTCTCTATGTTTAATCAATTAAACATTTCAATAGTTGAGATCATGATTCAAATGAAACTAGACTACCATGGAAAACCTGGAAGTACTAGATGGCTGTTTCATCCTATTGTGGGACTTCTCCTTAGGAGTGCGCATCCACGATCCCACCTCACGAGATTCGAACCCAGAACCTATCAGTCTCGCACGCGAACGTTTAACTTCTAGACTACATTATTAAAAAACAAAATCAACGTAGTGTATTTTATAAAGACATCCATCACTTACCCCTATCGAATAGCACTTTTAAAACATTGTAAAAAACAGTATATATGTTTATGCAAAACAATAAAGGCATCAAATATGTATCCATTCTTTTTTCTATACAAATTATTAGTTCATATTGATTAGCTATTTTGTCATACTATGGTGTGTGCTACTGATGTCGACGGATATAAGTAGTATACATCGGCGAACCAATCTGGTATACGATAATATGCCTTGAAGTTTAGCGTGAAATTCACTCATCCATTTGGATAAATTGAGTTCTGACATTATAGCTGATGTCAGTTAGTAATGAAAACCCTATATCTAATTCTTAACCCTTACTATCAACTGTAAATATTAATTCTAATTCTTCACATTGGTTTATAACCCTCATATAGCCGTAAGATGTAGGTGGCTATTCTCAAGGTCACTTTAACTTCATTCAAAGGTCGTTCATAAATAATAATCTTACCTATATATCATCCATTACAATATCAGTTTAAATTGTATCATTCACAACTAATTATAATAATGTAATATGTATCTCTGGTCAATGTTGAGATGGTGGTCAATGTTCCAACGATTGTTGTATTGATACATATTTGTATGCTTTTTATCAATCAAATAAGGTTTTTTTTTTATAAAATCAGTTCCATGTAAATGCAACATATTCCCATTAGAAACTTTATGTTTCCAACATCTTTTTTTTTACGGACTAGACATTCAATACAATAAATAGTTAAACTTGTATGAAATGACTTACCATGCATAGCAACTTATAGAGAAAAGTATCAATAGAATGTGAAAGTCAAATGAAAATGTAAAACATATTTTTAATTAATTCTTGATGAGTTTTTATTATCATTACGGTTAGTAAACGATGATGATGATGATGATGATGATGATGATGATGATGATGATGATGATGATGATGATGATGATGATGATGATGATGATGATGATGATGATGATGATGATGATGATGATGATGATGATGATGATGATGATGATGATGATGATGATGATGATGATGATGATGATGATGATGATGATGATGATGATGATGATGATGATGATGATGATGATGATGATGATGATGATGATGATGATGATGATGATGATGATGATGATGATGATGATGATGATGATGATGATGATGATGATGATGATGATGATGATGATGATGATGATGATGATGATGATGATGATGATGATGATGATGATGATGATGATGATGATGATGATGATGATGATGATGATGATGATGATGATGATGATGATGATGATGATGATGATGATGATGATGATGATGATGATGATGATGATGATGATGATGATGATGATGATGATGATGATGATGATGATGATGATGATGATGATGATGATGATGATGATGATGATGATGATGATGATGATGATGATGATGATGATGATGATGATGATGATGATGATGATGATGATGATGATGATGATGATGATGATGATGATGATGATGATGATGATGATGATGATGATGATGATGATGATGATGATGATGATGATGATGATGATGATGATGATGATGATGATGATGATGATGATGATGATGATGATGATGATGATGATGATGATGATGATGATGATGATGATGATGATGATGATGATGATGATGATGATGATGATGATGATGATGATGATGATGATGATGATGATGATGATGATGATGATGATGATGATGATGATGATGATGATGATGATGATGATGATGATGATGATGATGATGATGATGATGATGATGATGATGATGATGATGATGATGATGATGATGATGATGATGATGATGATGATGATGATGATGATGATGATGATGATGATGATGATGATGATGATGATGATGATGATGATGATGATGATGATGATGATGATGATGATGATGATGATGATGATGATGATGATGATGATGATGATGATGATGATGATGATGATGATGATGATGATGATGATGATGATGATGATGATGATGATGATGATGATGATGATGATGATGATGATGATGATGATGATGATGATGATGATGATGATGATGATGATGATGATGATGATGATGATGATGATGATGATGATGATGATGATGATGATGATGATGATGATGATGATGATGATGATGATGATGATGATGATGATGATGATGATGATGATGATGATGATGATGATGATGATGATGATGATGATGATGATGATGATGATGATGATGATGATGATGATGATGATGATGATGATGATGATGATGATGATGATGATGATGATGATGATGATGATGATGATGATGATGATGATGATGATGATGATGATGATGATGATGATGATGATGATGATGATGATGATGATGATGATGATGATGATGATGATGATGATGATGATGATGATGATGATGATGATGATGATGATGATGATGATGATGATGATGATGATGATGATGATGATGATGATGATGATGATGATGATGATGATGATGATGATGATGATGATGATGATGATGATGATGATGATGATGATGATGATGATGATGATGATGATGATGATGATGATGATGATGATGATGATGATGATGATGATGATGATGATGATGATGATGATGATGATGATGATGATGATGATGATGATGATGATGATGATGATGATGATGATGATGATGATGATGATGATGATGATGATGATGATGATGATGATGATGATGATGATGATGATGATGATGATGATGATGATGATGATGATGATGATGATGATGATGATGATGATGATGATGATGATGATGATGATGATGATGATGATGATGATGATGATGATGATGATGATGATGATGATGATGATGATGATGATGATGATGATGATGATGATGATGATGATGATGATGATGATGATGATGATGATGATGATGATGATGATGATGATGATGATGATGATGATGATGATGATGATGATGATGATGATGATGATGATGATGATGATGATGATGATGATGATGATGATGATGATGATGATGATGATGATGATGATGATGATGATGATGATGATGATGATGATGATGATGATGATGATGATGATGATGATGATGATGATGATGATGATGATGATGATGATGATGATGATGATGATGATGATGATGATGATGATGATGATGATGATGATGATGATGATGATGATGATGATGATGATGATGATGATGATGATGATGATGATGATGATGATGATGATGATGATGATGATGATGATGATGATGATGATGATGATGATGATGATGATGATGATGATGATGATGATGATGATGATGATGATGATGATGATGATGATGATGATGATGATGATGATGATGATGATGATGATGATGATGATGATGATGATGATGATGATGATGATGATGATGATGATGATGATGATGATGATGATGATGATGATGATGATGATGATGATGATGATGATGATGATGATGATGATGATGATGATGATGATGATGATGATGATGATGATGATGATGATGATGATGATGATGATGATGATGATGATGATGATGATGATGATGATGATGATGATGATGATGATGATGATGATGATGATGATGATGATGATGATGATGATGATGATGATGATGATGATGATGATGATGATGATGATTCGTTAACGAATAAAGTTATAGTAGTAGAAAGTTATAATTTTAGTTTATTGAGATACTTTGAGTGACTGTGAAACTGACTAAACAAATGTAAACTGGTCAGAATTCTGTTGCAGTACGGATAGTACACTGTATTAACTGATACAATTATAAGGGTGACAGAATGTTAGAACGTTGAAATAATAGAGTCTAACTCTACTAACCACCTCTTGTAAGAGAACAAACCAGATCCCAGTGGAGGAAGAAATTATGAAGACGCGGTGGTATTGGTTAGGATACACATTGAGGAAAGCATCCAACTGCGTCACAAAGCAAGCCCATACTTCGTATCCTCAAGGCCAAAGGATAAGAGGATGACCAAAGAAAACATTACGCTGAGAATCAGAGAAAGACATGAGAAAATGAACAACATTTGGATGGAACTGGAAAGGAAGGTCGAAGACAGATTGAGTTGGAAAATGCTGGTCGGTGGCCTATGCTCCATTGGGAGTAACGAGTGCAAGTAAGTAAGTAAGTAAGTAAGTAAGTAAGTAAGTAAGTAAGTAAGTAAGTAAGTAAGTAAGTAAGTAAGTAAGTAAGTAAGTAAGTAGGTAGGTAAGTAAGTGAGTAATTAAGTAAGTAAGTAAGTAAGTAAGTAAGTAAGTAAGTAAGTAAGTAAGTAAGTAAGTAAATGCCTTTACCAACCAAGATAAAACAGAGGTACTTCAATATTTCAACCCTTAAATGTAAATTCAGGTTGTGTAAAAAAAACTCTAACGTATTACAAAATGAGACAAAATACAAGTCATACAGGGTTTTAACATGATCGTTATCCTATAGTGCCATGTCTAATAAATGTCTTCATCCAAAATATAATACTATGTAAAATGGTCTTATATATGGTGTCATAACATTCTTCATGTATTATATGCTGCCTTTATCTACAGAGAATGTTACGTACTTGTGAAATTTTTGAGTTCTCGAATTAACTTTGTGATAATGGTAATGGTAGTATTATTGATAATATTAGTATTATTAGTACTGGTAGTGTTGTTAAATGGTGTTGCAGTAGTGAAAATAAGATGAACGTCAAGACAGTTCCACTGTATGAAGCTAAGATTTCGAGAAATACTACAACCATTATCAAGAATGTACAAGTATTTATAAACAATTGTCAACGTAAGATATTCAGTATCCGTTGGTCGAATACCATCAACAACAGATTACTGTGTAAGAGAACAAACCAGCTTCCATTAGAAGAGGTTATTTAGAAAAGACTTTAGATGTGGATAGGATATGTATTACGGTAATCATTAAACTGCATTATGAAACAAGTGCTAACTTAAAATGCTAAAGGGAAACGGAAAAGATGAATACCAAAGAACATATTGTGTAGGGAATCGGAAGCAGACATGAAAAGAATGAATAACAACTGAAAAGGATTGCCCATGACACAGTTGGATGAAGAATGCTGGTGGGTGGTCTATGCTGCTCCACAAGGGTAACAGGCATAAACAAGTAATGAAAATATCTATATGTATCATATTAAGAGAAAAATTACTTTTATTTGAAGATTTTCTCAATTTTTTTGTATGACAATACATACTCCAAATACACATTCTCACTATTATAGTGAAAATGTTCTTATTAGAATACATTGAATATCGTTACTTAACTTGATTGGTCAAACACTATTTTAAACTATCAGAATGGGTTTTGTGGAGATTTTTTAGAAATTTCACTGGTTAAAATCATGAGTCAATTGAAGTTAGACCACCATGAGAAACCTGAAAGTACTGGACGGCCGTTTCTTCCTAGTATGGGACTTCTCAGCGGTGCACATCCACGATCCCGCCCCCCGCGAACTTCGAACCCAGCAACTATCAGTTTCGCGCCAAGCACTTAACCACTAAACCATTGAGCCTGCCGGCATCCAACGGTGTTAATGTCTAACTTCAACCAATCCACGAGGAGTCCCATACTAGGACGAAACGGCCGTCCAGTACTTCCAGGTTTTCCTTGGTGGTCTAGCTTCAATTGACACATGATTTCAACCAGTGAAACTATTTTAAACATTAATTAAGGAGTAGAGATTTTGAAAATAATAATTTTTTTGTCTAACTTACAGTTTCCCATAGCAACTTGAAAATGTACAAGAATCAAGATGAAATAAAATAACATCGTACAGTACATCTTTCTTTTTAATTTTAAGAATATTCAATATTTCTATTCACTTTTATACTATTATGATGTGATAGTGATTCATTAATTTTAATCTCTACCCCTCAATCTGATAAATATTGGTTTATATTAAAGAATAATTTTAATATTTTAAATTGTACACCCACTGATCAGCACCATATTTAATGAACAAATAACTGACTCATGATCTTAACCATTGAAATTATTATAATATCTACAAAACCCCTCTATTGATATTAATCAGCATATGCTCACTAGTGACTGACATCAAAAGGTATTTCCTGGAGTACTAGTGAGAAGCAGTGAAGTTCAACCTGGTCTGCTGTGAGATAGTAACTCATTGAAGACAATGGTGGATGTGTGGTTCAATTTCGTGGATTGGTTGAAGTTAGACATTAACACCGTTGGATGCCGGCTGGCTCAGTGGTCTAGTGGTTAAGTGCTCGCGCGCGAGACTGACAGGTCTTCATTTGGAATCTTGAGAGGTGGGATCGTGGATAAGCACTGCTGAGGAGTTCCACAATAGGACGAAAGGGACGCCCAGTGCCTCCAGGTTTTTAATGGTGATATAGCTTCAACTAACTCATGATCTTAAACATTGAAAATATATCTAGCAGTAGTAGTAGTAGTAGTAGTAGTAGTAGTAGTAGTAGTAGTAGTAGTAGTAGTAGTAGTAGTAGTAGTAGTAGTAGTAGTAGTAGTAGTAGTAGTAGTAGTAGTAGTAGTAGTCAAGGAATTGTCTCATACTTCACTGTTCTTTCTTTTCCACAGCAACCATCCTCTGTCCTTTTTCTCTTCTCTTGCATCTTCTTAACCTTCTGCTGCCAAGTATTTCACTTTGGATTGATGGTACATCAGTAGAACATGCCACAGTAGTAGTAGTATTAGAAATTGTAGAATATTGAAGGTATTGATAACGTTGATGGATATTAACCAGAAGAATAAAAATATATCAAAATTATTATTGACTGATAATATTTCGACACACCATATATGCTTATTCTTATTCGTAACACCAGTGTTTTATGAAATCTTGGACCTAAGGTCCTGGGTTTGAGTCTGGAGTGCGAGATCGTGGATATGCATTGCTGAGTAGTCCCATACTTCCAGGTTTCTCATGGTGATTTGACATTGATCAGTTCAATCTTTAAAAAAAATCAACGATCTCAGTTAGTTGTAACGAAATTTAAGTTTACAATGAAGGATGATGTGATGATGTTTACTTTTCTTGAAAATCACTTCTATATGTTTGAATATATTTCTATATTTCTCAAATGTCTGTGTGCTTATTATTGTATATCCACTTATAGATATTTCTCAAGTTGAAATCATGAGTCGATTGAAGCTAGATCACCATGGAAAACCTGGAAGCACTGGACGACCGTCTCGTCCTGGTATGGGACTTCTCAGCAGTGCGCATCCACGACTCCGCACCTCGCGGGGCTCGAACCTGAGACCTACTGGCTTCGCGCGCAAGCACTTAACCACTAGACCACTGAGCCAGCCGGCATCCAACAGTGTTAATGTCTAACTTCAACCAATCCACGAAGTTGCGCCACCGTACACCATTGTCTTCAGTGAGTTCCTATCTCACAACATACCTGGTTGAACTCCACTGGTAACGACTTCTCACTAGAACTCCAGGAGTGTCTCCTGAAGTCAGTCACTAGTGAGTAGGTGATTATTATTATTATCAGAATGTGTTTTGTGGAGATTTTTAGAAATTTCATAAGTTGAAATCATGAGTCAATTGAAGCTAGCGGGGTCGTGGATGCGCACTGCTGAGGAGTCCCATACTAAAACGAAACGGCTGTCCAGTGTTTCTAGGTTTTCCATGGTGGTCTAGCTTCGATTGACTCATGATTTCAACTTGTGAAATTTCAAAAAATCTCCACAAAACACATACTTATAGATATGTCAAAAATGGGTTGCGTTCTCGTAAATAAAATATAAAAGAATTAAAGCTTGTTTGAATGGATCTTACTGTTTCTTTGTTCATGTTTTTTATATGCTGATTTTGTCCATTTAACACATAAATAACATAAGTACCATTGTAAATACAGATGTTAGTAGTATAAAAGAGTCAAAATGAATAGTAGATTATAAAAACTCAATTTGTGATCTTAAAAATTGAAGCTGTTCTAGTTAAATAATCAATGAAGAAAGAGTGTCATTAATGCAGATATTTTGTACAAGGGAAATTTAGAAGAAGCTCCAGATATATCAGAATTTCGTACACTACTGAGTTGGTTAGATACCAAAATCAGTTATTTTTCAAATTTAAATACTTCAAACAAATGTGTGAAGTATTCTATCCCAGGAAAATTATGTGATAGCGATAGTGGTTGAGGAGAACTCACAGTTACTCTATACATATCACTATCCTTGAGATTCAAATGATGGTGAAATTCAATGTATGTATGTATGTAGGTAGGTAGGTAGGTAGGTCGGTAGGTAGGTAGGTCGGTAGGTAGGTATGTAGTACTGATGTTCAAAGGTCAAATAACAAGTGTAGATTAATTAAACAAAACAAATGTTTTAGATTTCAATGTAGATACCAAGATCATATCACCATACTTTTCATTTGTTATTGTTATTGTTTACTGATTTGAGGTCTTGGTAAATTAAGTCAATTCAATCCTTCTATAAGTAGTGAATATAATATAATTTATCAGTTTTAATTATGATACACTTCCATAGTTTATTAATATTTGGAAGTATATACTATAAGCATAGATTTACTAAAGAAACAATGATCTGTTATATGTTAATGTATATTTTACCAACAACATTCCAAAATGCATGTTGTTGCTAATGATGTAGGAATTGGAATCAGTTAAGGAATGTGATGAATTCATTATTATTTTTAATTCTATTTAAGTTTATA